CTCTCTCTCTCTCTTTCTCGGGCCGGCCGCTCGCGCATTCACCTATCTCGTTAATGTTCGTTTCAATCTTTGAATCGTTTGTCCTTCAACGGGGCGCGAGCGAGCAGCGCGCGTGCGCACTCACACTCACACACAGTTATCTCTCTCTCTCTCTCTCGCGGGCTGCAAAAAAGCTTGGATATGTATATACGATTGCGCCAGCCACAAGCGCACGATAGCTTATAAAAGCCCGAGTCATCGTTGCTGAAAAAATTGCGACTCGCTTATCGCGCGGCCGGTGCGTCAAAATCGCGAGCTGCGCTCCGCGCGTTATTATATTAATCGATGATCGGAAGCTGCGAAACAAATGTATCCGTGCGATATTCCCCCCGCGCGCATCGTGTAACGCCCGAAAGGATCCGAAAGGATATTTTTAGCGATCGCGCGTGGCGGCGGTGTTGGCCATTATAAACATGCTATATACACGCCGACAAAAATCTATTGCCTCGTACTGTATACGGGGCTTGTGTAACCTTTTTATTATACATGTTATATCGGCGTCGTTCTCTTTCGGCTCGTACTTGCGTGCGCGTGTGCTCGATCTAAATGTATCGGCGTTTCGTCTATTATACACACGGGTGGCGGCGGACTCCTTGCTCCAAAGTCTCTCGGCTGCGCGTAGATAGATTATATTATAATACATGTACTATACGCGTGCGCGCGCACGTGTGTATCAACGCGTCGCACCCACGCAAGCTCGGCCCGGGTCCATTTGATATGGTAAAATGCACATGACAATCGCACACGCATATGCACTCAGCGCGACTTGTCGAGCTATTTTTTGATCGATTCGGACTCTTGTCGCGTACAGGGGCCGTGTCGATTTGACGCAGCATTGGTACCCCTTGTCCCCGATTTCGCACTCGTCTTATAATTTTTCGTTTCGTCGTGGTCAGTAGAGTGCTTAACAACGTATACGAGTACTGCTGCTCGAAGAAAATCAATCAATGAAGATATAACCGATCGAATTCCTTTTGCAATTCTCACTTGGATCCAGATTTTTTGTCATTTACAGCAAAAATGCCGGTCGTTGCAAAAATAATCAACGCAAAGTACATACGCAACGCGCTTACCATTGCGTCGCCCAAGGATGTAATTAATTTTACAAAGGACGACGTGAAATTTATCGCTCGAGTGATTGAGGTTTTTCTCACGTTGCAGCGCAAAACCTCGTGTAAACGGACAAATAACGTCGAACAGGCGCAGCTACAGAGGCAGGCGCTAAAAGAGGCAAATACACATACTTATATATATAGTCGGGGAGGGCGAGCGCAGCGCGCGCGCCAAGCCAAGCTCGCGTGCGCCTTCGTCTTCTTATTCTAACTTGGAGCGCGAGCGCCGCTGCCACTGCTGCACCACCACCACCGCTGCTGTAGCGTATAACGATTTCAGCTAACCAGTTTGTTTCTTTAATGAGGACCAAATCGTTCGGATCGTTCACCTTTTTTTTTTCTTTCTTTTCCTTCTTTTTTTCTTTTTCGTTGATTTGTGCTCTTTTCCCGGGAATCCGATAAAAAATAGTGTTCGAACCGTATGCATTAATTCGAAAGAGTCCGAAAAAAAATCAAAAGGTCACACAGCGCACGTAGATTTGAGTCGAGATCTCTCAATATATTTTCTTATTATATAGTTTGGTTTATTATTATTTTTTTTTCTTCTTTAATGATAACAGATTAATGTAAATTTTGATCAATTGTAATATCGTCTACGAGTAAATATTATACTTGTTTATTTCTTAAATGTAAATGTTATGCGAATCTGCATTAATTTTCATCTTCGCTGGAGTTAGTTTATTAATTTAAAATGCCTCATTTTAATCTCGCTCAATTATAAAATTCTTGTCCGACTGAAAAAAGTTAGTAACATTAATTGGCCTGTTCTTAGTGTTTTTTTGTTAAAATTGAGTTGAAAATATTGAGCACATTTAATATGTACTAAAAAAGACAATTAATTGTGTTAAAAACCAAGACCAAATCTTAACCACTTTAATTACGATAATACTACTTGAAACTTTCACCACTAGGTGGCGAACGCCATTATATGTCAATCTGCAAGTGGTAAAGTAAACATAATTGTATGTAAGTCAAAACGTGGATTAGCATACTCAATGGCTGAGTTGTGTTTCTTAGTGCTCAACAAAATTTACCCGAACCATTTATTTTCCGGAATCATATACGTGTGCGTATAATTCGCTTGCGAAGAAGGCGGGGGTCTCGCAATAATCGCACATCGCCCTTGCCTCGTGAAAAAAAATAAAAAAAAAATAAAATAAAGGCAGCAGCAGCAGCAGCAGCAGCTCCAAAAGCTGCATCGAGTGTGTGTTTGTGTTATACGCCGAAGCGATTTCGAGTACTGCTCGCGCGCACGGCACAGGGGCGCGTGGTGCACCTTCGACACTATATACGTATACGAGAAATGACGAGAGAAAAAAAAAATTGGCAGAAGAAGAGGAAGACGACGACGAAGAAACGAGTGAATCTGGCGTAGTAGGTGGTAGAGAGAGAGAGAGAGAGAGAAAGAGAGCCTGCCGTCTGCGCGAACTCGCGTGTACATGTGTGTGTGTGTGCAAGCGCCGGTGCTGCAAGTCGACGACGACGAACAGTGCCTCACAGGGCGCCGCGTGCCCGATCGACACACTGCTGCAGAGACTATAACGATGCGACGGCGGAGGTACCACACACACACACGCACACACACACGTATAGAGGGAAAAGAGAGAGAGAGAGAGAGAGGCACAGAGACAGAGACCTTTTTCGTACTCGAGCTGGCTTTAAACACACGTAACATTCCAAGAACAAAGTATCGAAGGCTCAGCGCGGATAGAGGTACTTTGGCGTATTATACACCCGCGCAACATGTCGCTCTCTGCGAGTAGCGTATATGTGTGCCCTGCGAGATAAAGAGTATATATAAATGTGGTACATAGGGAGCATCGACGGATGAGCTATATACCGGTCGCGAGCGCGTACCTCTATATACGTATATATGTGTACCGATCGTCATTGTGCTCGTATATAATGTGTGTGCGCGCTTTGCCAAGTCGAAAAAAGGAGCTGTGCGCAAGAAAAGAGAGAGAGAGAGAGAGAGAGAGAGGTCGACCTCTCTTTCGCTATCTTAAGAGCTTATGCCTGTTGCATTGTTTTCCAAGAGAGATATTGCACTCACTGCGCGCGGAGAATGTGTAAGTGTGTGTGTGTGTGTGTATGGGCGCGCAGAGAAGAGAGAGAGAGAGAGAGACAGAACCCTTGTAAGCCACCGGTAGTTTTGCTAAACTGCGAGCGAGCGAGCAAGCGCACCAGAGAAAGAGAGAGACACAGAGGTAAATCTTCTGTCTGGCAATGACTTTTGACCGAGAGAGAGAGAAAGATTGCATGTTTATTGCATGTGTGTGTATATAAGAGCAACGCTAAGCTTCAACAATACACGTAATATTATTATATATATCTGGTCCAATGCGCCGAGCAGCTATATGCATCTCCTCTCCGATGTAGAAATTTTATTGCTTTCGAATGATTGTGTATGTGTGTGTACCTATATGCTGCCGCAGTCTGGGCGATATTTGTGTACATATACGTATATATATCTTGCGTCTCCGCGCCGTCGATGCTCCGCAGTGCGCATTATCGAAAAGAGCCCCGCGATTTCAATTCACCCGTGTATTAGTAATGCACGTGTGTATCCATAACGAGTATTGTACTAGTACGCGAGACGACGCGAGCTTTGCTGCACAAATACCCTGGCGCAGATGAATAATATAACGAGATCGCAAAACTCTTTTCGCGTAGTACATAGTTACAAAATCGCTTTTATGATGCGCGCGCGTAAATTATCGGCATCGAGCTCTCGTGAATAGACAACCGAATTTGCGAAATAATGCCGCACATATGGATGCGTGTCTATTACCGAGGAACCTATATATTATCCATGTATAGAAGCGCCTCTCGCTCGAAAGGTATATACGCGTAACGTGTGAACCGCGAAGTGAACGAAATTATCCTCGCCGCAATTTGTGCAACGATCGATTCAGCATCGTTGAAATTTCGATTCATTTTGAGATTATTTCCGATCAAAGAATCGCGATTAATCGACGAATATTTATTAGATATTCAACCGTAAAACTAGACATGGACAAAAAATCAATCCGATAAGCATCGAGTGATAACGATTTATTTGCGCGCGCAACGCCACGATCTATCCGCAGCGGCATATCTGTGTATCGCGATGCAGTTTTCGTCGCGCGGGGGAATATCGCGCGTACGGCGGCGTCGCGGCCGACAAAAACATCGACATTAACAACAACACACGCGTCGTTGTTAATACAAGAGCAAAATGTACCATACGACATAGGCGCTTGCACATTATTATACATTGCCTGTATATACGCCACAAAATTGACACACCGTACGAACGAACGCGAATATATATATATGGGCGCATTCCAGTTTCTTTTTTCATTCGCTTCGATCGCGAAATTGCCGCGTGTTAACGCCCGCGAAGCCGACGAGAGGTGAAAAGTGACGACTATATCAAAAGTTGTCGGTTCGCGTGTTATACATTCGTGTTCTAGATACTCGTGTATGTATAATATATGGTAGCCGAGGCAAATATGGTATACGCGATTATCGTCGTCGTCGCGAGAGCGCGAGACAAACCATATTGATAATGCAAATGTATTTCGCGAGAAAAAAGGCTTCCGAAGCGAAACTTCTTTATACCGGCAGCGTCGTTTATAATCTCCGTCTGTCTGTCTCTCTCTCTCTCGTCTGCTATGATACAATGTCGATTGCTTGGAGTCCACTCTTGGGGCTGACGCGATATCGTTCGCCGATTCTTCGCTGCAACACGATCGACGAGCAGCTATAACCAGCAAAGATTTGTATCGTATTCGTTTCGCGACGACGAGTCAAAGCTCGAAAATTTGATGAGCATATTTACCGTCATTTTTCATTTTTATACTTATGTCGAATGGATAACAGTTTGCAAAGCTTTATCGTTCATGACAATGGTTGTCTAAAATTACATAGCGTATAACCCGTTTGATTACAAATTTTAAATCAATTTCATACTTCTAAGGTTTGTTTTCCTTATGTACTGCATTAATGTGATTTTCGAGACGCTTCTTGCTGCTAAATGACCTGTGGCAAGTCTAACATTCAAATTTTCTCTGTCCATGAGCTGACTTTACGTGAGATTTGAGTACACTAGGGTATCCAAATGATTTGTGACAAATTTCACACTCAAAGCATTTACTCCGAAGGTGTACTGCCTGAATATGAATTGCGAGATGACTTTTTCGTCCAAATGATTTGTGACAAATATCACACTCGGAGGGCTTGCTCCGATTATGTACTGCACTTATATGTCTTTTAAGATCACTTTTTAGTCTAAATGTTTTGTGACAAATATCACACTCAAAGGGTTTGCTACCGTTATGTACTGTTGTTATGTGCTTTTTGAGGTCACCCTTGTATCCAAATGACTGGTGACAAATATCACACTCAAAGGGTTTGCTCCGATTATGTACTGCACTTATATGTCTTTTAAGGTCACTTTTTAGTCCAAATGCTTTGTCACAAAACTCACACTCAAAGGATTGGCTCTGATCATGTACTATTTTTCTGTGTCTAATGAGATTACTCTTGCTTGAAAATGATTTTTGACAAATCTCGCACTCAAAGGGTTTGCTTTGCAAATGTACTACATATCTGTGATTTTTAAGCTGACCTCTATGTCCAAATGATTTGTGACAAATCTCGCACTCAAAGGATTTGCTCTGATTATGTACTACACTTATATGTCTTTTAAGGTCACTTTTTAGTCCAAATGCTTTGTCACAAAACTCACACTCAAAGGGTTTGCTCTGATTATGTACTACATTCACGTGACGCTTGACGCCACCCCTGTATCCAAATGATTTGTGACAAATTTCACACTGGAAAGGTTTGATTTTATCATGTACTTGATTCACGTGCTCTTTAAGTTTACTTGGATTTCTAAACGATTTATGGCAAATTTCACATTCAAGTGGTCCATTGCCCTTGTGTGTCGTTTTCATTTGTCTCGTTGAAGTCGCTTCTTCTGTGGTAAATTTACGATTACTATCGTAATTGAATCCTTTTTTAATTAAAATTGTAAGCCTTTTCCCATTCAAGTCATTTGTTGGATTTTCTTCCTTAACAGTAGCTAGGCAGATGGTCGTCAATGAGGGCTTAGGTTCAAGTTTTACATTTTCGGTCTCCAATTCAATCAAAATTTCTTCCTGTAACGGCATCGAGTCTTTAAAATTGTTTATAGTTTTTTCATGGTGGAAATCCGAACATAATTTCGAAAAATGGACTCACCGATGACTCATTCGAAGATGATTCTTCAGAGTTTTCAGTTTTCACCGAGAACCCCGGATCCACACTCACGTCGGCTACATCTTCGCAATTGTCACGAGGCTCCTCTTTCATCATAGAGTCATTAGTGGGATTAGCCTAAAATTAAAATTGTTTATAGTTTTTTCATGGTGGAAATCCGAATATAAATTCAAAAGATAGATCTTACCGATGATTCACTCGTCGATGATTCATCAGAGTTCTCAGTTTTCACCGAGAACCCCGGATTTTCTTCCTTTACAGTAGCTTGGCAGATGGTCGTCAATGAGGGCTTAGGTTCAAGTTTTACATTTTCGGTCTCCAATTCGATCGAAATTTCATCCTGTAACGGCATCGAGTCTTTAAAATTGTTTATAATTTTTTCATGGTGGAAATCCGAACATAATTTCGAAAATTGGACTCACCGATGACTCATTCGTCGATGATTCATCAGAGTTTTCAGTTTTCACCAAGAACCCCGGATCGACACTCTCGTTGGCTACATCTTCCCGATTGTCACGAGGCTCCTCTTCAACACTAAAGAAACGATCGTTTAAAAATATATCTTTGACATGCATGAAAAAGTGTATACCTAACTAAGTCCTTTCGGCTTGCCATCCCTTCGTTAGAATGATTTATCCTTAAATTATTCAAAATTAGATGCCTCGAGTAGCCAACACCTAATCTTATTTTCACCAATAAACTTGAACGGATATTATTGTAAACACTTCCTACAGCAGGAAATGATTAATAGCGACTGAGCGTAAACAGTTTTGTACAACGATGAGTAGCCACTGACATGTAAATAACAACATTATACCGAGATCGTAACGAAAATATCATTTTCTCAGCACACAATAATGCCTCAACTAATAATTATGCGCATTTTAATTAATATACCAAAAATGTAATTTTATAGTAAGAAAAGTATTCTTGTTTGACACAAACTGGTGATCATGTTTAAATAAAGAAATGAATGAAAATGTTAAAAAATTGATATAATAATTACTAGATACTTTTGTGGTCAGTTAAATAAGTTTCGGTTGTAAACGGACAACGAGTATCGATTGTACGTCCAGCCGAAAAATGAGCTGCAGCTAGAGCTCAAAATTCGGGCAAAGTCGGGCAACAAAAGCTCTTGCTCGTACAGAAACAACGGCCCATCGCAGAACGTCAACTACTTTTAATTTTAGTATTAACTTTTATTTCGTAAAATTTTGCTCCCTCATAGAGAAAGCTATTTGGTATAGGCTCGAATCAAAATGATATGTTGAATCATACGTGAAGTGGAAGGAAATTTTTTCGGACTTAGTCATTTAATCCAAAAAATAAAGTCCGATTCGTTGCACTTGTCAAAGGGTCACAAGTGTAATTATCACACTCATCGAAAAAATACTGGGAAAAAAGAGCAAACTGCTTTAAGAACGACCATGAACTTTATTATTACGTCAAATTTATAATTAAAAGATCCTGCTCCCGGCCTCGAAAAACATGGGCAGGTTCATGCTAATATCGGTGGAACGCGCGCGCGTATCGTACACCCGTTTTCGCGCATAGACGAGGCATTAGTCACGCGCTTCGAAATTAAAAACCTCTGCCAATTTATTGGCAAAGAGCTTCCTCATTAAAAATTATATTAATAAAAGGGTTTGATTATTAAGGGGAAAATTTGTATTTCATTTTTGAAAATTTTTGAAAAAACGAGGAAGCAAAAAATGCATGCCCCTTTTACATAGCTTTGTGTGACGGACACTTTTTTTTTTTTTTTTTGAAAAATTATATTTTAAAAACGAAAAGTTTAATCAACTTGAAAATTTTACACAATAAAGTTTATTTATTAGAAAAGCCGTAAAAAATTTTTCAGATGAAAATATTGGAAATTGTTAATTTTCTATGAGTTTTCCTCGAGCATCCTGTTGTCCTGCGGTAGGCATGATTTTTGTGCTTAGATTAAAAAAGAATCCAGTGTTTTCATTTCACTTCCATTTGAAATGCTTACATTCATATACATTTTGGAGCCGAAGTTTATATCGAGTGCACCAACGCATGAAGCACATCGATACGGGATACGGTTGTATTGATCAACAATGAGACAAACGAGGGAGAGAGAGAGAGAGAGAGAGAGAGAGAGACGATTGAATTTCGCGCAGGAGCAAAAGTCGCTTATTGCGATCGCTCCCCCGAAGAAACAAAGACGCGCGCGACGAATCGCTATATACACGGTGAAAGTCCGCGCGCAGGTAAGAGGAGAGAAAAAAAGCGCGCACGCAACTCCGCAAAAGCAACAGCAGCAGCAGCCAGTGGCAATATTACAGAATCGTTATAAAAATGAGTGCGTCGCGCGACGATCGTCGTATTACGCGTACAAGTACGGGGATTTTTTTTGAAAACATCAAAGTCGAGTCGTATTATAAAGAGTATATCATAAGTACGGGTCCTGGTCTGCGCGCGATCAAATGCGCGCGGATATACGAATATATATATGTGTACGTATGTCTACGTTGTACATATCGCGAGTGAAAAGTATAGCAGCTTTTATATAAAATGGCCACGCCCTCGCGCTATGTATGTACGTGTATAATAATAAGCGAACGGACAGGATTCGAGAATATCGGCAAGGACGACCACAGCTCGACGAGCTGCTGCTTGTGTATATATATATACGTTGAATACTTGCACATGATGCAGCAGCAGCACAAAGGGAGGCAGCAGCAGCAGCAACACATTTACACTCGAATTGCCCGTGACTTTTTAATTAGCGATCGGCGTCGAGCGAGACTCCCGAGTCCAACCATTATTATACGGGCGCAGAAACAGCAGCAGCAGCTTTTAAAGCCTCGACGCGCTGCTCCACGACGAGATTCATGCCTCGCTCGTCTGTCCTTTTTTTTGCCGTTTTTCTCGCGCGATGTAAGTCCGAAGGGCTCGAGTTGACGCGAGAGAAAGCTTTCGTCGTTAATATAGCAAGTACGGCTGTATTAGAAAAGTATCTCTCTCCCTCTTTCTATATGTATAACAGTAAACAAGTCGACAACTTTGTGCTTTCTGCGCTTCCTACGTGTCTCTCTCTCTACGTATAAACGTACAAACGCACTCTTACGTATACATATACGCGCGCAGACACACATTAGAGGCGCTACGCGCGCAGATGTATCGCGATCAAGTTCACGAGGCTAATGCACTTTGAGAGTTTCTCTGCCTCTATTTTTTTTTTGTCATATTCCTCGCGCGACTTTTCTCGTCATAGAACCGCCGCGCCGCTGCCACGGCTTATAAGTGCACAGATAGCTCGTTCTTTTTTTCATCTGTCTCTCTCTCTCTCTTGGCAATTCGTGCACGAAGGCTGGGGGCCCAATGCCGAAGATACATCTGGGCGCGAAGTAGGTGCGAGCGCGGTAAAAGCGCGCGCAAAGGTATACGCGTTATAAATAACTCGCGGATTATTAATTAAATCAAAATAAAGATTCTTTCTGCGTGCCCAGATATGTGAGTAAGTACGTGTGTATTTGCAGCTGCCTCGCGCGAATGTCCATTGATTAATGCGAGTGATATTTCTTCAACATTATCAGTGCGCGCGCGCGGTTACAGTGATATATACATATAAATATGAGTTTGAGAAATATCATAGCCAAAGATTGAATGAGGTCGATTAAAGTATGTGTATCTCTGTGGTGCTGCTGCTGCAGATCTGAGTGTATACACTGCACCGTCGAGAGCGAAAGAGAGAGAGAGAACTATGATACAGTCATAAATGATATTATTATCGTTGGGCAATTTGAGCGGATAAACGAACCGATAAAATTATAATTAAAAATCGACAATAAGCGAAATGTATATCAGCCGTATATATATAATAATAATAATAATAAAACCGTTGCCCCGGCGAGAGCCAGAAGACAAATGGCTTTGCGTCTTTTTTTCTTTTACTCAACGTTTGCACTGCCTATATACATCGAAAGAATAGAAGCATTTTTAGCAGCGTTCGCAGAGTAGTTCTTTTAGCGACTTCCTATGCACTATGCAGACACACATACACACAGCAAGTAAGTATGTGTGTATGTACTTATAACGAGAATCGGTGCACGAGCTGCACACGTTACACTGTGGTCGAACAGATTGATAAGCGATCGGCACGGCGACGGTGGCTTATGTCGCGGATGAAATGCATTAATCATTGCATAAGGATAAAAACGAACGAGGTATATTATAGTATAAGTTTGCTTGTTACAAGACGCGAGCATTGGTGTATTTTGCATTTTACGCGTTATAAGGTGCAGACTAGTTCAGTGGTGTAGCGGCACATGCCGTTTGATTACGCTCGATTAAGACACTTTACTCGATGTTGCGTTGTGGCACGTGTCGCTGCGGTTGAACGAAAAAATATATACACAATTCGAGTTCTTTTACTTCAAACGATGGTGATTTTGTCAATAAAAAAAAAGAGATTGATTTTTTATATTTATTTATTTGATTGACATGGTAAATCTGACACATGTAATAACACAAAACATTAAAAGTACTGTAAATTATGTTGATTGGCATCAAGAGTGTTGGCTTTCAGTCGCCAAAAAAATACGATATAAATCTTGGTTCATTAGCTGCTTGATGATTATATCACAGCAGAGAATTGGTAATCGGTAGTGCGTCAGCTTCAGTAGAGGATTCAGTGCCCATCGCTGGAAAAATTTTCTCGACATTATCTCACACAGATGCAAGCAACAATCTTGAAAAAATAGAAGTTTTGGCTCATTTTTCGAACGCGACAGCTCGTAGTAGTCCGAATACGCGACTAGTTTCGCCGCCTGTTCGGGTCGCAAACGGATTAATTCGTAAAGCGAGAGACTCGGATTTATCATTAAATTCTTTGCTTTCGTCGTGAAATATTCAGCCTCCACCTCCTCGTCTTCCTCTTCCTCCTCACGATAACCTTGAACAAATCGTCTATCGTCCTCTTCGTAGTCTTCCTCCTCACGATAACCTTGAAAAAATTGTCTCTCGCCGTCCTCGTATTCTTCCTCCTCACGATAAAAATGATCAAATCGTTCCTCCTCCTCAACATAATAACCAAGATCATATAGTCTCTCTTCTTCCTCCTCTTCACGATAAAAATAATTAAATCGTTCATCTTCTTCCTCCTCGCTATGATCATTATAAAATGATCTCTCTTCCTCTTCTTCCTCCAAATAACGATCGTCAAATCGCATCCATGGATGGCTCACATACTTCTCGTCGTCGTAGCAACATTTTTTGGTAGACTCCTCGAACAGTCCATTTTCAGCAAACGATTTCATGATCGTTAGGGCGTCAATTCGGTCCAGGTGGTATCCTCTTTTTTCGAGACAC